TGATCTCAACATGTTATGGTACCGATTCTTCTGCATATCCTCGTATGCAGCATACTGGGATATCAATAAAGCTCTCTATCGGAACTTGGCGGTTATATATGCCACGGTCTCAGTCGTCTGACGCATATCCAAAACCTCCCTTACCAACTGTTTCACATCAAAAAATGGTGCAAACTCTGCTCAGAACCTGGTCACAAAATCCGACCAGGTCATGGTCTCAATGGCTAGGGCTCCCAAAGCATAGACAACCTCCTCCTACCAATCTCGGTCTCGCTCTTTCAGACAGCCTGCAGCGAACATCACCTTCGACCCCTCGAGCCAGAAGCTAGTCATCTGGGCACAACTCAATATCTGATATCCATCATCTGGCTACAAGAAGGTCTTTCTCCCCAAATAGTTCTAACGCCCCACATCCCCTGATATCCTTGAAGGAGAGAGTATGGGCTACATGCTGACTAGCGGCCAGATCGACCCTACTGATCCGAAGGCAGTCCTCTATCAACTTGATGATACCCTCCTTGATCGACCTAAACATCACCGGGTCGCATCGAGGATGCCTCTAGTAATCTCAGACGTAATGAACTCGCATAAACCCTCATCAATTGGTTTGGTGCCCATGCCCGAACCAGATCTAGATCATGAACCTTCTGCACCACCGTGTGACATCACCATGCTAATACATAAAACATAAACAATTAGTATACACACGAAGAAGTTCACACTCTCGAAGTTTCTTGAATTCATCATGACCCTCCTAGTCTTGGGTATAGATCATGTGCTTCCAGTAGTATGGGCCCAATACTACCTTTCACACCTATCTATACCCTCCCCAAGGACTGTCTCGAATCCTCCAAGTCACTTCCTTTCTATCTATTACTCCTCTCATATTATAGGGCGTACTATGCGCCAAGACATATTCCAGGAACTCCTTAGGGTTCCTTTCCTCACCACTCTCTGTCATCAGCTTCAGAAGAAACTCTCTCTAATACCATCTATCTACCACACAAATATAATTACATACTATCGGTACTAGATAATTCTTCAAATGAAAGGTCCCACACTACAATGGTTAGACTCAAACAAGAGCTGTGTAATAGCGTTAAACGTAACCTTATAGAATTATCTAATATCAAAAATATGTAACTAAGCGCATTCGTCCACTAGTCAATTGGTACTAATGAGAATTCCAAAAATCACAAAGCAAGCATCATTCAATCATAAAGCAATTCGAATTACAACATAGCCTAAACAAGACATCCTATTAGATAACTGATCTATACTAGCATGCAGATCTATAAGCGTGTACAATAGGCACACAAATGCATCTCTCCTAGCATTATATCATGTGATTCTAAACCGATAATTAGCCCTAATCTAGCATGCAATTCTCATATTATAGCATAAAACATTTAACATGTATGGGTATTTTGAGAAAACTTACTTGAGCTTGGCTGATTGCACGTATCACACCCCCTTCTTTTATTATAAACTTCTTAACAAAATATTTCTTCTTATGAAAATCTACCAAAATCCTTAGTTTGAGTTCAGACATACCCGAGATTATTCCCGAATCCCTCAAACCAAGGCTCTGATACCAACTTGCAACATCCCAAAATTTCAGATAAAAATTTCATTTTTAATTCATTCAAAAACATCCAATAACCATGTCAAAACAACCAAGTATGTATCATAGTGAAATAATATCAAAGTACTAAATCCCAAAAATCACATAATGCGGAAAACATGAGCGGAAGAGATGCGGTCAAGTCGCAGCCTTCCCTTTCGAGCTGGAAGTACCTGAAACATAAACTGAAAACTGTAAGCATAAAGCTTAGTGAGCTTCCCCAAAATACCTCATACCATACATACGTAAAAGTTAAAACAAAATTAGGTCTATTTCAACCCCCTTCGGTCTCTTTCAGCCAATACTGAGTATATTTCACCCCCTTCGGTCTCTTTCAACAAGTATTAGGTCTATTTCACCCCCTTCGGTCTCTTTCAACCGGTACTGGGTATATTTCACCCCCTTTTGTCTCTTTCAACCGGTATCGGGTCTATTTCACCCCTACAGCTAGGATACATTCATAACAGCAAGAGTCACAGAGACAAAAATCACATACAAGCATAGCAAGACATTTTCACAAAGACAACTAACATCATCTAAACATAATTTAGTGGTCCGGTATTGGTGCCTTTGACCCACGAGTACAGTGAAGGAAACTCACCTCAGTCTGAAGATAACAAATCACACTCGGGATACTGAATTGTCATATCCTCTCACTAAATCACAAATAAAAGAACCCTAATTAGAAATTAGGTCACTAACCCGTCCCAAGAGTCCAAATCCTAAATCCTGACTTCAAGGGGTAAGAAGGTTGCTTTACCCTTCCCTTATTGGGTCTAACATACCAAGGCCCAAATCCAAACTATCACAAAGTTCAAAAGACACTCCAAGCCCAATATGGGCCCAATTCCATAAAGTCCCATCTCATAAAGACTTGTGGCCCAACAAGGGCCCAAAACCCTAAAGTCCAAGGTGGCCCGAAACTAAAAGCCCAAAACTCCCTGGTAAGTATTATAAGCGTACCATCAGTAAGCCCGGCGTACTCGAGTGTTTCACATGATCGGGATCTCAGGTGCGTACGCTTAGCATACACCTACGTACGCCCCAATTGGCCAAAATCTCAATTTTAGGTCTTAATCCCTTAATACCTAACGTCCAACTTCAGATCCAACCTCCTACGGACGTTCTTAAAAATAAAGTTGGAAACTTTATCCCTTTGCATGCCTTAATGGGACTCAAGTCATGGATTTGGCATTCTACTTCCATTAAATGGTCACTAACTCATGCATGGTTGATCTACAACCATCAAGATGCAAGATTTATGGATCTAGGACCTCAAAAAACATCAAAAGGAACATCTCATAACATTTGGAGTAGCATTTACTCACAAGAGTTCATCCATGGAACTAAAATATGCTAAACCCAAACCTAGATCTAGACATATGATGAGCAAGGTTAAGACTTTATACCTCCAATAAGCTTGAAAAAGTGAATAATATCTAGATCTACAAGCTCCCTCTTGTCCAATGCTTCTCTACAAGTCGTCTTCTTCTTCAATATGCACCACACACACCAAAACACACACTTAATGGCCAATCTCTTGGTAAATGGATTAGGGTTTTAAGGTATAGCTCAAAGAGGAAATGGAGGCTAATAAGGTAAAGGATTTGGGGACTTAATGTGTTTAAATAGGGTGTAAGACCTAAAAATTAGGGTTTTCCCCTGACTAACGTACGCCCTGCGCACGCATGGGTACACCCAGTGTACCTAGGGGACACCTCGTCTCATGCATGCTTTGGAGTACGCTCGACATACCATATGTACACCGAGCGTACTCGGGTCCAAGTTTCCAAAAGAAAGAATTTAATTAATTAACATTTACCTGACATATCGGGCTTTACACCAGAGCTTAATGTGGTGCTTATTTGGTCATGAACTTGTGAGCTAGTTAGAAAAAGGTCTTAGCTTGAGTGTTCTTAGCCCCATGTTTGAGTTTTGGTCATATTAAGGACTTCATGGAATTAGGGTTTAAGATCTTGTCTTATGGTGAGGTCCTAATGGATAAAGTTTGAATCTTTATCCATTAAGTCAATGTGGAGAAGTAGATCTGGAAGTATGAGCTTAGATCTGAAAGGATTAAGCTCTTAATGAGAAAAATGATAATTTTCTAGTGGCCACGGCATGGCGAAGTAAAAAATCGTGATTGTCTTGTTCTGGCATTGCCACGGCGTGGCAATATCCTGCATGTTGACTATTTGACTTTGTGACCCCACGACGTAGCCAAGGAGGGCCACGACGTGGCGTTGACTTTGACCAAGTTTAACCGTTGACTTTTGTGACCAGTTTGACTTTGGGTCAAACTTGAGGGTTTTGGACTGTTGATTAAGATTCTACCTGGTTTGGTGATTAGTGGATTCGCGGGAGCTAGCAGTGTAGAAAGGGAAGCACGTCTCAGTGTTTCGGGGTTCTTCATTCAGGTGAGTTTTCCTCACTCTACCCGTGGGTCGAAGGCACCAATGTCGGCCCACTAGTTTTGGTAATCATGTAGTATATGGATGCCATAGGACTGTATGTGGTCACATATGATATATTGAGGACTCTTGATCTAGGCTTTCCTACATGTTCCTTGTTTTGTTGTGGCTCTAGAGTAGGATCATATGTCCTAGTGTCTATCTCACCTCTGGGTACATATGGTTATGCATTCCTTGGATTGCTGGTTATGTATCCTTGTGTATAGGACGTTATAATGTTGTAGTGATTTGCTAGGTTTATGTATATATATATCCTTGTATGATAGGATGCAGTAGTAGTGGTATGTTGGTTAGAATACGAGTATGTTGATTATATCCTAGTAAAACAATAACCGAACTTACTATTATTTTATTAGAGCATCGATGTGTCCATTAAGGATTACTTTGATTTACATGCTACAATCACACATACACACAACAGTCCCTCTTCTTCATTAAACGCCAAATCAATTCGATATAAGGATACACACGGTCAACTATTATTATACAGTATATATTCACAATTTTTTCTGATAACATTATGTGAGACTTGACTTGCAATAAATAATTCCAAGTTGTGGCAGCGTGTATTAAAGAAGTCGCGCAATAACTGTTTTTCTTTGAAACGTAAGTAGGTTAGTATTTAACCGTTTGAAACTATCCTAGAGTTTTATTTACATATACAATATTACATAACTCCTCCCATAACAAAATCATCAGTGGCACAATATGAAATAGAAAGCTATCCGTATTCTGTTGTGGTTGTGGAGTTGGATGGGATAGATGATAGTCATACCAAACCGTTACCAATCTTATGTTGGGGGGAAACATTTGTTGAACCACAAGAAATATTCCAAAAAAAAAAAAAAAAACAAATCAACATGAAAATAAATAAATAAATAAATAAAATCTCTTCCACACCTATGATTGAAGGTAAAAAAGAAAAAGAAAAAGAGAGGCTTTGAGGTTGTGACTTGTGCTTTCGTCTCTACTATATAATATATTTCTACACAAGTTATGAATGGCAAAATAAAAGGAACAAGAATTTAATATAATAGAAAATCTAGTGCTAGTAATTAATTATTAATGTCTTGTGTTGGAGCTGCGAAGAGTGACTCCATGCAAAAATTTGGTATATCCAAGCAAACTCAGTTTACCATCGCTTCTAATCCAGTCCTTGATTATGGAATGTGCGGTGGGACCCACGTTAAGCTCCTACAGCATGATCATTAAAAATTAAAATTAAAAAAAAATTATAATAAAAATAAAGCATAAATTAAGAAAAGAAAAATACCCGAGCAAGTTCCTCGACAGAGACGGTACGGTTACCCTCCTGTTCAAAGTAGTCAAATGCTGTTGACCCGATCTGGTCCCAAGTCCCCAGCGCTTCCAATTGGTATGTGCTGATGGCTGCTGCACAGAACTCTTCAAAGTCCATCTTCCTGTAAGACAGGGGCGCCATCTACAAACACCACATATTAATCATTAATTAGTCTATCATATAAAGCCAAGGCAGTAGAGTAGGTTGGATGAGATGTGATTATGTGATGATGGCTGACCGACCGCATTTAGAATATCAGGGACCCTAGACTCCTTCATCGCATCTGTAGCATTTCGCAGGAGAGCCTGCACGCACGCACGCACCAAGTAAAATGAATATTCATATTCATACTCATATACATATTCATGTTGTGATTATTAAGGCAGAAAAGGTGGTGCTCTGTTGTGTTGTGTTCTGTTTAGTGTTTACCATTCTGAAGTTGTCAAGCGACACACGCCCGTCTTTGTTTGGTTCCAAAAGCATAAACTGAGCTCTTAGGTAAACCAATTCATCCTCTGTCAGAGCTTTTGAGAGTGCCTTCCAGTTCCAGTGCAAACAAAAAATAAAATATATTCAGAAGCAAATAAAATATATTCGGAACCAAAAACCAAAATGCAAATAAAATTAATACCTTGAGTGCAGCCCGTTTGAATGGAGACGCATGAAGATACGACTTCACCAATTTATATATCAATATATCTAAAGGAATTGGATGGTTTTCGCTCGACAACCATGGATGAGCTGTCGGTGGGTGTAGTTTAGTTTTAGTTGTTTGGAACTAATAACACTATTATTTTATTAAAATTTAAAAAAAAAAAAAAAAAAAAACTTACTCAGAGCTTGAGCAGCACTCATTCTCTTTCTGTAGTCTTTATTCAAGAGCCTTTTAACAAAATCTTTGGCTTCCGGTGATACAGAAGGCCATGGTATATCATCAAAGTTAGGATCTGCTCTTAATACTGCCCGAAATATCCCAGATTCAGTTCTTGCCCAGAATGGTCTGCTTCCACATAATAATATATAACAGATCACACCAATACTCCATATATCTGCCTCCAGGCTATAAGATCTATGAAGCACTTCTGGTGCAACATAATATGCACTTCCTACAATATCATTAAGCCTTTCTTCTGCAATAATAACCAAATATATTTATAAATTACACACTACACCAGTCTATCATCTATCTCATTCTGTACCTGGCCTGATGAAATCAGAAAGACCAAAATCAATAAGCTTCATATCAGAGTCTTCACTTTTCGACATGAAAAGGAAGTTCTGCACACAACCCAATATATTTTTTATTTTAAAACAGGGCTTCTCAAATAGGAAAAAAGAAAACACCCATAATATAACATTTTATAACCTCTGGTTTTAGGTCACGGTGTACAACGCCTTGCAGGTGACAAAAAGCAACGACACTTAGGATCTGGACTATTATCAATTTTGCATCTGCTTCTGTGTATCTTCCACCTCTGCATTCAAAAATCAAAACCAAGTGTCTGTGTCAGAACTCAGAAGGGGAACTATACTTATCAATAAAAAAGACAAAAAAAGTCATACCTGGACAATATTCGATCAAGTAATTCTCCGCCTTCACACAATCTGTTTGTTCAAGCAAAAATAAGTTATAGAACCCAACCAATTAAACCATGAAGACTATGCATGTTGTAAAAATAATATAGCATAGAAAGGTAAAAGAGTCGATTGAGGGACGTACTCCATGACTATGTATACATTGTTTGTGTCTTCACATGCATCGTAAAACTGGATCAGATGCTTATGCCCCGAAAGAGCTCTCAATATTTTTACTTCCCTACGCACATCCTCGATTGAAATTGCAGTTGTCATCTGCAAAAGGATGATAGTTAAGATACTATGCAAAAAAAAAAAAAAACAATAGTTCATAATTTGAATTTAAATGATTCACACATGACAGGAGATACCATGGCATAACATTAGAAAATTCTAGGTAAAAAAATATGCTACGAATGGTTTTACTTAAACTTCATAAGTTTTATTGTGTTACCAAATATATCCCTATATCAATTAACGTGTACCTGAGATTTAAGCATGACCTAAAAATAATCATTAGTCATTTTCCTATATCCCTGGACATTCCAATATCACATCTTTTGTACTTGTATACTTAGAGCCCAGGGGAACATTGGCAAAATAGAACATGTCAGCTCATAAGATTACAAAAGGGCCTCTATTTCAGCGAGAAAGGAAGAGTTTGAAAGAAAGGAAAAATAAAAAAATAAAAAATTGAAACTCCTCCGACAATCACGTAAAATATGAATCATGGGGTTTGTATGATCTTTATCCTTCCTCATGTTATTTGTCTGGAAGCTAGATATAGAAAGCATTCAAGCAATACCAAGGGACATACATTGAAAAAAGAGGACATATGTTGGCTCATATCATTAAGAAAACACCTATCTTTTGGCAAGGAAACAAATTTGCTACTAATTGACAAGAATTGTATACTTGACTAATTCTGCAAAACACCCAACATAAGCAAGCAACCATTGAATCACAACAAATTTTTACTCTGACTCTGGTTTTTATATCACAGTCTACATTGACAATAACATTACATTGCCAAGTGGCAAGTGGCAAGTGGCAAGTATGCAGCAGCAAATCAAATGAATGTATTTACTTATTTAGATTGAATGCAATTGGGCTATCTAACAAATACCTTGACTTTGGAGATGATCTTAACAGCCAGAGCATGATCCTTAAGTTCCCCTTTCTTGCCCCTGGCGTGGCATGTATGACCGAAATGCCCTCGTCCTATCTCCTTCCCCAATTCGTACTTTGCTCCAAAATTCTTATTGTAACCGAAATTCTTATCAAGAGACTGCCCTTCGGGTTCTACTGCTGCGCCATCCTCCGGAATGGGACCTTCCCTTGGCTGCTTTGCATGCCCAAATCGCCTGGCGAGCGAAGCCTTGATGTGCTTAGCTGGTGAGGGCGGCGGAAAAGGCCGTTTAAAGAACCTACGCCCGGGAGTTGACGATCTCGCCGGAGACGGAGAGACCCCAGCTGGTAACGGACTGGCTATTCCATGAGGGTAGGGACTGGACCATGGACTCGTCCCTGCCGAGGATCGGGCCGGCGTGTTTTTGACGGAGGGGACGTTGATGACGCCGTTGTTAGCGGATGAAGGGAGTGGAGACTGAGGGTAAGGACGTTGTTGCTCTCCGGCGGCGATGATGGTGGTGGGGCCGTCGTTGTCGGTAGTAGGAATTGTCTTGCCGTAGCACTGCCCCATCTTAGAGCCGGTGTTTGTCGGAAATTGATCTTATGATCAGGGATCAAGGCAAAGATGAAAGTCAAAACATCGGACAAAGCAAGGGGTAGGGATCTAAGGAGGAAGCGTCGGAGAAGATAGAAAACGTTAAAGTCAGGGAATTTGGGCCTGAGAAGACAAAAAGAAAACCGAAAAAAAACAAAAGAAATGGATTGAGCGAATGACAGAGATTGTCTGACAAGATCTGAGAGAGGAGGAGGAGGAGGAGGAGGAGGAGGAAGCGTATCTAAATCAAGGAAGCAGACATGGAAGGGATTTGGTTTGGGGTTGTGATCTTCTTCATTTCTTTCGCTGCTGCTGCTGCTGCTCTCGTCTGCAAGAAAGAAAACCCTTCCGAGTAGTTGGGTTTTGTCCTTATTACTTAACTTTTGCTGCTTTTAAGTTTTTATGCCCCCCCCCCCCCCCCCCCCCCCCCCCCCAACTTAAACTAATTCACTGTCAATTCCATATATATATCCCCTCCCTTTGAGCTTTGAGTTTTGAGTTTTGAGTTTTGAGTTTTCACTTTTCACAGTTACTATTTACTAATTTTCATATATTATTACAAAAACCTATTTACTTCTTCTTAGTTTAATATATATGTTTTAATTTTCATTAATTATTTACCTACTTTCATTTTTACTAGATGATTTTTTTTTGCGAGAAATTCAATATTTTCCTATCTTTTTTCCTAAGTATCTATTTTACTCACTACATTAAAGACAAATATCAAAATAAAAAAAAGATGATTAAGAAAAAAATCAGTTGTATCTAGGATAAATAGAAAGAAAATGTAAAAATAAATTTAATTATTCTTTGCTTAGCCTTAAACAATAAAAGTATATTCATTTTAACAAAAGACAATTATAAAAGAAATAAACAAGTATGATGATTCATCTTACCAAATGGCGGTTGATTCTTCCACATGAGGATTTTAATAAATCCATAGAAACTATAAAGGTAAGGACAATTATGCTCTCATTCAAATTTACAATGTATTTTACTTTTTTCTGGATCCTGATTATTTGTGAGCGAGTTATACCAAAAAACATTCCAACCACTTTATAACCTTTGTTTTTTTCTCTTTGCTCCTTATTTAAGCCGTCATATTTGCTCTTTTTGACATTTCACCCCTCATTTCAATACTTTGTTGTTTTTTTCTTCTTTAGTCATTTTTTACACCACCGACCCTTATTTTTAAAGAGTTTATAAACATATTATGATAAAACTATTATACAATCAACTACTTAACAAGTAAAAAACACAACTTCAAACTAATGCATATCAAATCATAATAAATGTTGTCCAACAAAAATATTCCTAGTGCATATTAAATATTCAAACTATTTATATGACATATCATCACTTGAAAATATTATATATGTATTTAGATCAAATAAGTTGTTCTCTAACTAATATTATGAGACATTTTATTATTTATTTGAAAAGACACTGGTAGATTTTGAAGTTTTTGGTGTTTGTGATGATTCCACAAGCTCAAATTTAAAAGGTCTCGCACAGTAGAATTTAATCACCTTTTCTTTTTTTGCTTTTGGAGGTCATCTACCATTTGCTCGAGGAATCATGGTCCAAAGAATATATTGAATTCAGTCAAACATTACAATGTAAAATTGAGTGGTTGTCCGAGACCCCTGGGAGACACCTAAATCCCGCTGACTATACATATTAATTTGAGCTATTGTATGTTATTTTGTGCTTTTAGTTTAGCCACTCTTTTGTTATTATTAACTTGTTTTTTCTTACAAGTTAATTGCATGGAAGATGAGACATAAACATTCTCACTTGATTAGTTGTTCAGATGTTTGTTATTTAGATTTGACGGAAACCGAACCAATTAAATCGACTCATATAAAACCAAAAACGATTAAATCGAGCGTTATTTGGTTCGTTTTTGGTTAATATTTTGGAAGTCAAAAAATCAACTAAACCGAATCAAACAACCAATAATCGATTAAACCACCTGAATAATAATCATAATCAAAGAATTAATATATTTATTTTGATATTCTGAATAAACATAATCATATCCATCAATATTCACAAGAATCATAAGCTCTTAAAAAATGATAAAAAAGAAAAAAAAAAACAAACTATTAAATAAATGACGAAATGTAAAAAAAAAAAAAAAAAAAAAAGATATGGTGGTTTAATAAGGAGCAAAGTGAAAAAGGGGTATAAAGTATAAACTATCCATAAAATATTTTTTGGTAATAAATGTCTTCTGAATAATTAGAATCCAAAAAAAACGCTACAAGCTTAAATAAGGGCATAGTTGTCATATATTTACAATTTCAGTGGATTTATCAAATTGATTTGTGGAAGAATCAATGCCCTTACCAAATACACCATAATAATAATAATAATAATAATAATGTGGTGATTTTAATTAAATGTTTTATCTTCTTCACTTGAAGCCAAGGTGGACACTTACACATATGTTTCATCCATTTAGCATCATCCTAAAATCAATATAAGCGTTAAAATCATAATCATGAAACCCTACATACATAAATATCATTTTAGCTTAATGACTATGTATTGTGTTATTTATATCCCACAAAGTGATATCGGCTAATTAAAGATCATTAACTCATGTAAAAGGTATATATTTTTTCAGAATTATGTCAATGTTTATGTTAATGAGTTCGATTTACATATAAAGAAACGATATTATTAACTCTAATCACAACAATGCTCAAACTTCACAAACAACGATATGGATCAAAAACCTATTAACAACTTTAACAACATACAAAACCAATTTCTAAGTATTGGACAATATTTTTGTAACTCACATAACACAATCTTCCAAGTGATAGTGACTTGAATGTTGGAGTGTATTCTCTTGTTCACCCTCATGATACCTTAACAGTCAATCTTTTGTGATTGATGCCAGGCGGTCCAACTATTCACTAAGGTTATAGCGCCAATAAGGCTAGACGGAGTGGACTTGCCAAAGAAGGTCGCTATGGCTCGTTAAGCAATTGGAACACCGCCCCCTGGCACTTGCTAGGGGGCTCGCTATGAAAGGGTCGCTACCAGCTCAACGAGAGGAGAGAGAAGGCAAGCTTGGCAGTGATTGTGTATTCACCTTTTGACCACAAAAACTATTGGTTATTGTTTTTTCTTTTCTTTTTTTCTTTTTTCTTTTTCAAAATAAAACTTTTTTAAAATCAAATACTACTATAAGATTTGATAAAACTCACCACAAAAATATATGGAGTTGTATTCATTCAACATATATAGTACAAATAATACAATATAAGGATATAGGATAAATACCAAAATTACAAAGAATCCTAACTAAAAAATAAATCATCAAGATATCTTTGATATCTTGTTGTTATCGTCAATACCCCCTCCCCCTCAAGCGGATTAGCAAACACACGCATAATTGGGATCGAAAATGCTCAAAGAGTGGCTTCGGTAAACTCTTGGTGAAAAAATCCGCCAATTGAAGCTTGGTTGGAACAAACTTGGTGTAAAGTTTCCCAGATGTAACAAGCTCATGAACAAAGTGATGGTCGAGATCAATATGTTTCACACGCTTTATGAGAGACTAGATTTTGACTCATAAAAACAGCACTTTTATTGACACGCAGAAGAGTGGGTCGTTCCGGAGGCAGAACATGAAGTTCCTTGAGAAGATGAGTGACCCGAACAATTTATGCAACTGTATTTGCCATGGCATGATACTCAGATTCACAGCTAGATTGGGACACAGTAGTTTGTTTCTTTGCACTTCGAGAAACAAAATTTCCTCCAAGAAAGATTGAATAGCCATAAGTAGAACGCCTTGTTTCAATGCAATGTACCTAATCAGCATCAGAATAACCAAGGATAGATGGGACAGTAGAGTGAAGAAAAGTGAGACCATATGAGATAGTGCCTTTAACATACCGGAGAATATGCTTGACAACTTGAAAATGATCCAAAGTTGTGTTGGATTAGGTGTCTAATCCAATAACTAAATTAGTATAATCTTGAATTATTAGCGAAGTCCTTTTAGGTTGCCCTCAAACCTAATAATTGAATATGACGACTTTTAGAGAGAGAGAGAGAGAGACTGATTTATTGACTTATTATATGATTAATAAATAGCAATAAATGAATTTATTAATATGTTATGAAAATAATATATTAATTAGAAATAATAATATTTAATTAATATTTAATCAGAAATTAATTAGATTAATTTTGGGATTAATTATATTAATTAAAAGTGTGAGGGTTAAAGTGCAATTGTTCAATAGTTGAACAAGAAAGAGTCTAGAACCTTCCTTGGAAGGAGGTGGACGAAATTAGGGTATTCCAGGACATCTGGAATATTCCTTGCAGATAAATAGGATGTTGAATAATTACCAAATTGAATAAATATTATTTTATTCATTTAAGGTTATCTAGGGGTTTCCAAGTTGCACTATAAAAGGATCCATTGAGCTACAATTTTCGACCACTCCTTCTACCCTAGAGATAGCTAAAATTTTGACATCCCCTCTCCTCTCTTAAAAGCTTCTTGTTGCTAGTGTTAGGTGTGAACCATCAGAGGAAAGACATTTGTGTTGCTAGCTTCCAAGTTATTAAAGAAAGGATTCTTGATTGCTTACTACAACAATCAAAAGGTATGTTGTTCCTTCTATAATTTTCGAAATTACCTAGGGTAAGAGTGTTCTTGTCTAACAATAGAATGTTACATCAATAGTGTTATGACTTAGATCTTTAGGTTGCATATACCCTTAAGTGTTAAGGATTTATCCGTGTTAATACATGTAAAACCCATCAGTGGTATCAGAGCGTATGGTTGTCTAACAACTAATGTACATTGCTTGAACTTGAAAAAGAGGATAAACATAATCGTCATTCTGTTTCGAGACCACGAACTGGTGTTCTTCCGCCACGACGTGGTGATCTTCATATATGCGTTTTTCTGATTTACCACGACATGGTAATTATTTACCACGACATGGTGGACCCTCAGAACAACTAAAAATCAATTTTTTGGCTTAATTCGTAAATTAATTAGGATAATTACCTTAGATAATGTTTTTAATTGTATAAAACTGAATAATTATCTTTTCTTATCAGATATCCTTATCTTGAATTTTTGAATTATCCTTATGTTTTAATTATTTGATTAATTAAAAGATAAAGATCAAAAACATAATTGGTTTATTTTAAATTAAATTAATTCCTTCATTTCGAAAATTTAATTTAAACCTTGTATTTTTTGAAAAGTTTAAAAGACACCTTATATATAATATATTAAAAGTTAATTACTATATGTATAAGGTTAAGTCTGTCAAATTGCTTTTACCTACCTTCATAAATTTGCAATAAGATTACGACATCCCTCTTCTTAGTTGTGAATTGTTATTT